ATGGGGTTGTTGTGACCCAAGTGCAGGACCCAGCACCTGGCCTTGTTGAACCTCATAAAATTGACCCCAACCCATTGATCTAGTGTGTCGTATAAAATAAAGCATGAAAATTTCTGGTGATACTTGTTTCATAGCTTCTTTCTTACAGATTCAAGGTGACTTACAGGTAAGATAATCTTGTAGTAAATGTATCATTTCCATTGAAACATCAGGACAATATTATTATTCACTTAGGCTCCTTATTTTTACAATTAAAAAATATAGATGTAGACACCAGACACATTTTTTTACCTTTTTACCAAACACTGTAATGTTATGATTTGATACAGAAAAGTCTTAATGTCTTTGAGGAATCAGTATTATTTTCTTTTCCTGCATATATTTACAATGTTAATGTGACTTTTTCTTTGTTTAAGTGTTTTAAGATGTACAGTGATATTGGTCAGTATATTTCTATCAAGACTGTTTTGCTTGAAAATGGCCTATGATCATATGAAACCTCCAATCTTTGTATTTATTATAGCTTTTACAAACAAAGTACTAGCATGTTTGAAATTAATTAATTAGCCATACTTGGTGAACTAAATCAAAACCAGTCACAAGTCTGTGACATTTTAATCTGTTCTGACTTAATCTTCCATGATATAATTTTTTAAATTTTAGCTCCATTTAGTTCATGTTATACCACTGGAAGTTTTGGCACTGAATCTAGTGAAGTTATCATCCAAACCTTGCCCTGAGCCTGGAAACATGGTGCACATTTTTACTGTGATTACCAAGAGCTGAATAAAATTATTTCTAAGAAAGCATTTAAGACAAACTAAAGATAACAGACTGCAATAGCCAGAGCTGTCTACATAGAATCATAGGATGGTTTGGGTTGGAAGGGACCTTAAAGATCATCTTGTTCCCACCTCCCTGCTTTCAACAGGGACACCTTTCACTAGGCCAGATTGCTCGAAGCTCCATCCAACCTGGCTTTAAACAGTTCCAGGGCATCCACAGCTTCTCTGAGCAGCCTGTGCCAGTACCTCACCACACTCACAGTAAAGCATTTCTTCCTAATATCTGATCCAAAACAACTCTATTCCAGTTTAAAGCCTTTGCCCCTTGACCTGCCAGTCCAGGCCCTTGTGAAAATAGTCCCTCTCCATCTTCCTTGTAGGGTCCTTTTAGGTACTGGAAGGCCACAATAATGTCACCCAGAAATCTTCTCTTTTCCAGGCTGAACAAACCTAATTCCCTTAGCCTTAATTCCTTATAGAAGAAGTGCTCCATCCTTCTAATCATTTTTGTGGCCTCCTTTGGACTTGCTCCAACAGCTGTTGTCCTTCCTGTGCTGGGGACCCCTTAGTTGGATGTCCCATATTATTTGCAAAGTACCATCGATACCATAAAATATCACTGATACAAAAAAAATAACATTGTTATAAGAAAAAATGATTTATATAGGACCTCAGAATCTCAAATATTGGAAAGTTGAATTCCACCAATTTGAAAGTTGAAGTGGTGTTTAAAATAAAAAAATATGGAAAATTAACTTGCCAGATTAATTCTAAGAAATGTGGGGGCTTTAAAGAGATGATGTGAAGAGTTCTGGAGGTTTTGTCTGCCCAGGAGTTGATTGTACATCTGTGTAATTAACCAAACACAATAAAGTCTAATGCATGACTCATTTTGCTGCTTGCTTTCTCCTCAGGTTTGCCAATTTGTCGTGTCTGTCAATGGCCTCAATGTTCTCCATGTGGATTACAGGACAGTAAGCAACCTCATCCTGACTGGCCCTCGAACAATTGTGATGGAAGTGATGGAAGAAACGGAGGCCTGAGAAGGCAAAAAACCCTATTACTGGACATTTTTGTGACAAATAGCAACAGCCATGGAGCGGCATGACACAAGGCAGCAGAATGTTATTGTGTCTGATGTTTTTGCTTTTAGGGGAGGGGGTTCTCTTTCATTTAACAATAATAGCACTGGTGATTATGCTAAGGTGTGAGCAATAGATACCAGCATATCTTCACTGCGGACTTCTCTGTGCCCAACAGAGACAAGATCAGGGCCTTTAGGTGGTCTGTCCAGCCATGGCTGCATGGGTCAGAATGGGTTCCAGCCTAAGAGGCCGTGGACCTCCAGTCCAGTCCACTACTGGATCAAAGCACTTCAGGAGGTGAAAGAGACAAGCTCTGTGAGGTCAGGATGTCACAGATGGTTTCCATGAGATACTGACAGTGATAAACATTGTCCTGGTGTCCAGCTTTGTCCCTGGAGCATGTGCAGTCACAGTTACTCTCTCCTTGGGCTGAGGGACAGCTGACTAAATCCTGGCTTGATTATAGTCAAACACAAATGAACTGCAAATGCATGACAAAAGTGTCTGTGCTCTGTAGAGGATAGTCTGGTATGAATGTTTGGGCTTGACTGATTACACGGGTTAGTCTAGAAAGAAAAGGGAAAAACGTGTGGTACTTTTACAGAAACTGCCTTTGAAAATTGGTCTTTTGGTTTCAATGCCTGTGTGCTGGATTAGATGCTTGAGTATAAAATAATGATTTTGAGGTTTTTTCCATATCTGTAAAGGAAAGGTGCCTCAGTCTTGCTATTCATCACTTTGGAGAAATTTTGGACACCTTAATTCCCAGAAGAAGAATATTTGTCAGGTTGTAGTAGGAAATTCACAGTGTTAGCATAAGGAAGAATACATTCATATTCTCCAGTAGCAAAAGTACACTTCAAATTGAAGCAATGTACTTGAATGTACATTAAGCTTATCAGCACTTTCCAATCATCTGATGTTTTGCAAAGAACCAACTTCCCTCATGACCTGCATTTGACACTATTACAAATAAAACATTGCATTTAACTGACTCTTGTTTCTCAAACAGTAGGATTTTTTCATTGATGAATTCATGGAAGAAATATTTTTTAAAAACATATATAAAAATTCCGTATTCTGGAGAGTTACATGACTCTTCAACTCAATGTTAAGGGGACTGCATGGGTTTTCTTTGATCTTTAAATTGAATGAATACATCCTGCTCCACAAAATTATAAATACGTTTTACAGACTTTCTCTGCTGTCTAAATTTTACAATTAAAGCTTGACTTTCTATATGCACAAATACTTCAATTATGGGGTGGGAAAAGTATTTTTCCTCAAATAATATTGAAACATGTTTTGTATTAAATATTGTTCTCACTAAATAAATTGCTCTTTCAGTATGTTTTTCCTTCATTCAAACACTTCAGAGATACAGCAAGTCTTCAAACTCATATATTCCTGCAGCTTTTTAGGGAGAAGTCTTTGTGCTCCTTGTTTCTTTTTTGTATATCTGTGGTTGTATTTTCACCAAGAAAACTTCTCATATTCCACTAACATGCAGCAGTGCAGGATGATATAAAATTGCAGCTGCTTACTCGATACTAACCAGGCACGAGAGTATTTGGAGGTTTGTTCAAACTGTCATCTGCTATGGCAGTTCTTAATCCCAATTGTACTATCCAGAATTTTGGTACACATGTATAAGCCATAGCTGGTTACATTTCACAGGTCATCTAAATTAAATAGCTGGGCACATAATGTTGTGTTAGATTGTAATAACTGTCCATGGTATCCACTCAGATCAGTTGGAAACAATCTTCTTGTTCCAGAAATGTTTTAGTATTCTGTAAGTATTTTGAGTTTGTGAATCCAGGAATGCTTCTCCAAATATTTCTATTTAATTTCTATTTTTTTTTTTAATTTTCTCTTTTTTTATTCTTTTCTTTTTTCTCCCCTGGGTTGTTTTGGTGGCTTAGCCCCTTGAAAATATAAATTCTGCATGTTAGGCTAAGTTAAATATGACAATTGAAGGATTTTCTTAGCAAAATGCTAATGATTCTCTCTAATGCCATTATGGGTTCGTCTGTATTACATCTCTTGCCTTAGTTAATATTCTGCTACAAGTTGTCTGTAGCTTACAGATAATTAAGAAACTGGGTCAGAATTTGGCTTAATAATGCATTATAGAGTGCACTTCAGACTGGAGCAAAAAGAGTAGCAATGGGGGCAGGGAGAAATCTGTGCATTTCATTATGTTACAGATTGGAGATGGCATCTTGATTTACAAGATACATTAGTCTCCATCACAATTTGAGCACAGCTACTTGCCTTCTGTTTAACAGGGATTTCCATATTGTGTTCTCAGCTTGACTGACAATCCGGGATTTAATTAATTCTTTCCCTCTTCAACATGACAAAGATATTCAAATTATGTCTGCAATGAAATTTTATATTTTGGAAAAAAGGATGGAAAGTAAACAATTAAGCTATGAAATACCTTCCAATTAAATTGCAATTTGTCTGCACATAGTGCTGCATATGCTCCAAGACATCCCACAGGAGTCAGTGTCAAACTCTCACATGCTTCAGAGGGCACAGCATTTCAAATATAACAGAGCACCTTGCTTCCTGCAAAGTGCCAGGGGAAATGTAAGATTATTCACAGAAGTGAGGCATTTCAGGAGATGCATGAATATCACAGTGTAGAATGAGGCAAGAAACCAGAAATAAAAAAAAAACCCAAAACCCTGGCATCAGCAGTAATAGCTTCATTAAAAAGACAGGCATTTTTGTAAGACATACTCTCTTCTGTGATCCCATTTTTGATTACTGTCAATCTTGCAAGATCCTCTAATAAATCTTTAAGCCTTAATCACTCAAATTAGTGCCATTCCTCTGTACATGTACATTTGCAAATAATTTATGGACATCTTCAAGCCATGTAATATTTAATTAAATTCAAGCAGCAGTTAAACTAATTGGAGCATTAAATCAGTGCAAAATTTCTCATATTTTCCCCTGTTATATTTCCTACAAGATACATTATTTTCATTATCTTTTTCAAGATCAAATACCATGTGTATAGTGTTGAACACATCCAGTTCCACAGCTAGTCCCATGGAAGGCATTTCATTCCCACAATGATGCAATAATCCACTTCAGGTGCATCAGAACTTAATTGTCAGCATTTTAGGTCTGCATAGAAGCTGAAAATAAAATTTTCAGAATTAAAAAGACATTGTGTCATAGCAGCATCTGAAAGTGGGTGTGGCCTGCTGTACCTTCTTCTATGAGATTACATTCCGGAAGAGGTTTGGAATGAAAAGGTCATTCAATATGACTGTTTTTCAAAGTGTTTTTCTTAATTTTCTGCTCATACCCTCACTAATGACTACAGTACTAGGGATGTGTCAAATGCTTTCCCAGAACTGTTGGTTTAAAGGTGAGCTTGTTCCCTTAGTGTGGTCCTGATCTCTGAGAAATTTGCCCCAGTGCAGTTCGAAGAACAACATGAGATCTGAATTTGGTGCCTCTTGGCCTTCAGACCAGAGACATTCTCTGTACTGACTTGATGTACTAACATAGACATACACAAACTAGAATAGTCTGAGGATTAGGAAGAAGCAGCAATTAACTCCTTTCTTCTTCTGTGCTGACAGCTATAATGCATGGAGGTTTCCTTTTTCTTATCAAATTATAGGGTAATGTTCTAATAATTTCAGACATTTCTAGGAAGTAAATAGTAATTTTTATTGTTAATTTTTTTAGATAAGTATTATTCTAATTCTGGAGACAGGAGAAACTGAAACAATATGTTTTGCAAAAGTGTTTGTCTAATGAAAGACAGACTGAGAAATCAGTTGTTGCAATTAAGAGTGTTTTTTTCCCAGTGTGTAATTGGAACTACACCGCTTGTGTAAGTGAAAAAACATGTGTATGTCACAAACATAAGTACAGTTAGACCACCCCACTCTGCAAATGAAGTGAGAGAATTTCTACCCTTTTACAATAAAATTGTCATTAAAGATTTTCATAGATCACACTTTTTAAATGTCTTTATCTGGTGGGTGATGTGGCTTATATTTTTCACCTATATGTGTTACTTTAAAAAAGAGAAAAAGTACCTGCCAATTCAGTAATTCCCTTTGTATACTCACAGTGCAGATAAAAATATCATTAATGTTCCAGAGAGGCGGAGTGATTTTAAACCATTAGATTTCCCTACAAACTTGTGCATAAATAAATATTTATAGCTTAATTTTTAAAAGGAGCAACTAATGCAAGAGACAATTTAAGAATGTCAAAGGATGTCACAGCAATCAATGATACAATTAATTTATGCGATAAAGACAGTGTTTCATGTATAGCTGCCTAATCTTTGTACTTGCAATTCCTCAGGAAAATACTGAATATTCAGAAGGGAGTAGCTATAACTGTCAGCCTGAATGGCCTGTAGGAAAATGGCTGTTGTTTTGCAGTTAGGTATCCCCTCTCTTGGCCATGGGAGCTGTGAATTTCCAGTACTGTTGAAACTCAAGTTTTATAAGCACACATTTAAAAGGCAACTCTTAGCTTTAAGACCAGGGGTTTGAAGCAGACACTGAAATTTAGGTAGCACAAATTGTTGTAATGCCTCTTCTACAAAGATGCTGCCATATATCCGTAGGTTTCCCATCCTGTGTCACCATAAGTTTCCTTGAACTTAAGAGTACAACAGTCTCCTGCTGGCTTTTGTATGGCCTTGTCAAATAACAATCATAATTTCTTTCCAGAATTTGCAGGTGATTTACAGAGGAAAACTCTCCTTTATGTGCAACCTCTTGTTTCTGCTCCTAAGGTGCCTCTACATAGAGATGTGTACAAACTGCTCCCTAGATTACAGTACATAGACAGCTAGTGGTATTCTGACCACTTCAAGTAGTCATTTCCATCATGCCTCAGCAGCTGAACTCCTCCTCTCCAGGGAAATGCTCCCATTGCTCCTGCTGCTGCTGCTGCATGCACCCAAGCAGGCCAGGCTGGGGACCACTGGTCAAAAGGACAGCCCACACCCACCAGACTGTTTTGCCATTACCAGTGATTTATGGATATATTTAATTTTCTTTCCTATTCTACTTATTTTGCTACATAGCTGACATTGGTCCTATATTATTCTTCCAGCTCAAAAATAATTTCTGGAAGATCTTGGTGGTCCTGCTTTCTTTGTATTTTTACTAGTATGTTTTTGAGTGCCTCTTTACCATGATCCCCGTCACTAGCTTTTCATAAATTAGCAGTGTTTATTTAGCAAACCTAATATTTCAGGAAAACAGGTGAATTGGCTGCTGCTTTACAATCAGATGTTAGCTCATGTAAACAAAGCCTCGAGGCAAGACACCAAAGTAAGAAAAAGCTACCAAAAATGATGGAATAAAATTCATTTTAGATATAAAATGACAACACATCTACTCTTAACAAAGCTGTGTATGGTTCATAACACAGATGGGCCACAGCTTTCATGGACTTTCTCAGGTTATAGAGAAAAAAAAAAAGAGAGACCTTCAAAGAGTGGTGTTTTCTTTTGGGTCTCTTGATGAGCTATCCTTGACTTCCTCACGAGCCAGCTGGAGCACAGCTTCCAACCATAGCTGGGCTTGGAATCACATAAACTCTTATCTTCACTGCTAGCTGTAAATAACTGCAGATTTTAAAAATTACGTTTTCCAGTTCAGGTTTTAAGAGTTTCACTTATTAAACAGAAAAACAATTAATTTCTCCATCTATCTGATAAAGAAGTGCTGCATTTTCCCACCTTATGTTTGCAGTGGGATGCGTGATGAACAGAAATACTTTTCAGTTTGTACTCAAGCCTGACTCAGGGAATATTTGTTCTTACCTACCCTTCTCAAGGCAAACCTCCTCTGGGAAAATTTCATGAAAATTTCATGAAAACCTGAGCAAAACCTACAATATGATGCCTATTAGTAGATAACACCTAGAAAATACATTGTATGTTCAAATAATTATTAAGAAAAAAGAAGAAAAAAATGAAGGTAAGTTAGCTTG